TTAAACTATGGAGCCAAGAAGTCTCATTAGACAAGCCAGACATTAAAGCGAATGAAAAACTCCCGTGACCCTGAAATTGCCAGTACCCACAGGATGCTAGAGGGTCACATCAAAGCCTCTTAGTCCCTGCTTGTAGCAGACAGTGGTGGTACTGGCCTCACTGGGAAAAAAAAAAAAAAAAAAAAAAAAAAAAAAAAAAAAACACCAAAATAAAACCAAACAAAAAAACAAAAAAGAAGCTGGAAGCCTTAGAGGCCCAGGTCACCTCCTTAATGGCCTCTGATCAGGGTTGAGAGAGAAGCTCTGACACCCAGGACTCTCCAGAAAGCCCGAGGTCAGTATTCCAGGGTACAGGTGAGTGGAGGCAGAAGCCAGCAGGAGAATGTGACCTTTTTGTTTCTTCACTCTGGCGGCCCGAAGAGGGGAAGTGGGGATTCAGCGAACACAGGGTTTCGGTTCTGCAGGGAAAAGTGTCTTGACGACTCATGGAGGGGACGGTTGCACAATCATGTTGGTGTGACTTCTGCCATGGTTCTGGACCCTTACAAAGGATTAGCTCCACTTCCTGTGTATCTCACCACAGTTGTAAGATTAAATAAATGAGGTGTCCTACTGTCTGTGTGGGTAGGCACGGGATCCGGCCACACTACCGCTGTCATTCTCCTCCTGTGTCTCACGGGTCCCACATCTGTGTCCCTGTGCCCTGCTCCCCAGCCCACCACTCCGCCACTGCCTTCTTCATAGTGAGGTCAGAGTTTACCTCCATGACCTCTCTTGGCGATGGAGTGTCTCCAGTCAGGCTCGTGGGGAGGAAGTTAGTGTCTGCAGAGAGCCTGAGGAGAGCCCCAGCCTCCCCTGAGAAGCTCAAGGTCGTCCTGCCTCCTGGATTTGTCCTTCGAGCCACTATTCCAGTCTTGCATCTCCACAGACGGTCATCAAGGCAGCTGTGGGTGTCCATCCCAGGGTGCTGGTGGTGAACACTGGTCTCTAGGGCCCCGTCATCCACACTGCCTTGCTCTGGTTCCCTTTCCACTACCTTAACCATGGAGTTTACTGTGCTATGAGACAGAGCTGCTATAATCTCGAAGTCAGGCAGACTGTGGTAAGCGGCAGGTGCTAGAGCCTCCTGGGAAAAGACTCAGTTATACTTGAGTTCAAATCTTGGCTCAGTCACTAGGCATGTGGCTGAGGCAAGTTATTTAAGTTTAAAACAATGTGTTTTGTTTGTGTGTGTGTGTTTAGATTTATTTTACATGTGTGAGCAGTTTACCTGTAAGTGCATGTGTGCACTGGCCTTCAGAGGCCAGAAGAGGGCGTCAGACCACCTGGAACTGGAGTTAGAGATGCCTGAACCGCACTGGGATCAAGCCTGGGTCCTCTGCAAGAGCAGTAAATGATCTAAATGACTAGCTTCTCTCCAACCCTCTTCCTCAAGTTTCTCATCTCCAAAATGAAGGTCGTGAAACCTTCCTTATTGTTAATAGGATTAAGATTGACGCCTGCCTTACAGTAGGTTAAACCTGGTAGCAGATGTGGGGCTGGCAGCTGGAGAGCCTGTGGGGATGGCCTTGAGTGGGCGACTCGCCACACTGCAGGACAGCGGCTGGATTCCACACTTGTGGGTAATTCAGGAGACTGCTGAGCCCATAGGCAGTCTGCACATGCCCACTGTTTAGTGCATGTTCAGCCTTAGTTGGTTGTCATAACATGTGAGAATATAATTTTTTTTGCAGAGTCCATAATGGTTAAAATAGCCAACAATAGTCAAGCATTTCTCAAGCATTTTTAAAATTTAAAACTGACTTAAAGATACTTAGTCCCTAGAGACAGATTTCATCTGCAAAACAAAAACAAACAAAACACACAGAGGGGTCCTGTGGAGCCAGCACGAGACCAAAGCAATGGAACGAGATCATAGCACCCCACACTGAAAACTACTGACAACGTCCTGGACTTTAGGGGTAAGGTGTAAGGTTTGTTCTAGCGTTTCCCTCCCTATGCGGAACAGCACTTAAACAGCTGGATAGCGCACTGATTGGGTGCTGCCAATCAGCGTGGAATTTAGAGAAAGGCTGCAGGAAGAGAGAAGAGCCAGGTGAGGACAGAGGGGCAGAATTAGTGTCCCCTCGAGTCTAGGCGTTCATGCTAGAGTTGTTGCCAGGTGCATTTGAAGTCCAAGGAACGAGCCAAGAGAGGCAAAGAGCCAGGCCTGAGAAGTCAAAAGTCCCCACTTAGTGGAAGATCAGTCCGTGGTAGAGACTGGTGAACACGATGCTCCCAGAACCGAGTCAGAAAGCTGGGAAACCGACATCTGGGAATCGTCCGGCATTTTGGGAGCTCAGAGAGGCAATGGAACTTAGTGTGTCAGGGAGCAAGATCAGCAAAACTCTTGCAAGGAGTGGTGTGGAAATGGAGGAAGAGGGGCTGGAGTGTGGAGTTCGTTTTTATTTTCTCTTTACTCTTTGGGGGCCCTGATACCCAGTTCCAAATAAATAGAGTCTTACTCTTCCTTATGAAGGCTCGGCCTTACCTTGGCTTATTTCTAGCCAGCTTTCCTTAACTGAAACTTACCCTGTCTACCTTTTGCCTCTGGGCTTTTATCTTTATTCTATATTCTTTACTTCTTACTCTGTCCTTGCTGTGTAGCTGGGTGGCTGGTTCCTGGTGTCCTCCTCTCCTCCTCCTCTTCTTGTTTCTCAATCTTATCTTCCCAGATTTCTCCTTCTATGTATTCTCTCTGCCTGCCAGCCCCACCCATCCTTTCTCCTGCCTTGCTATCGGCTCTTCAGCTCTTTATTGTGCCCATCAGGTGTTTCAGGCAGGCAAAGTAACACAGCTTCATAGAGTTAAACAAACACAACATAAAAGAATGCAACACATCTTTGCATCACTAAACAAATGTTCCCCAGCATAAAGAAATTTAACATCTCCAACTAACATTTTACAACGTTTTCCCCTTATGTCTAAATAAAAAGAAAAGGTTTTAACTTTGACATAAACTTTATACAATAAAAACAAATATCAGCTAAGAATTACATTTATGATTTAGTCCATTTGTATTTAGCAAATTTAGAGAAAATTCTCCATTATCTATCTTAGTGAGTTCAAAGTTTTATACCTAGTTTACTTTCTATCATAACTAAGGAAAACTATAACTCTATTTAGTCTTTAATTCCATCAAAGACCCCAGAAGGATATACCCAATAACAGAGACTGCCTGGACAGCCACTCAAAGTTCCTCTGCAATGTTAGGGCATCCATCTTCAGCCTACAGGCCTAGGACATCTGGTAGACTCTTCTATGAGGCAGGAAATTTGAAGGACTGTTCTACCTTATCTTGGCAAAGTTTAACAGTCACTTTCCTGTGTGTCCTGTATGAAGTCTAAGCACTGTGGCCTGTTTGCACAGGAATACAAGCTAGGACCATCCTGGGCTTGGCATCAGGGATTATTAAACTATAGCTCCATTCCATGTAGTAGACTAGGGATGAAAATCAGTTGATGGAACACTTGTCTACCACACAGAAAGCCCTGGGTTCTGTCCACAGAACCCACTAAATTTGGGCATTGTGGCACATACCTGTAATTCCAGGGTTTGGGCAGTGGAGACAGGAGGCTCAGATGTTCAAGATCTTCAGCTACACAGCAAGCCTGAGGCCAGCCTGGATACATGAGGCCCTCTCTCCAAACAAACAACTAAGCTGAAGAGGTGGCTCAGTCGGTGAGAGCACTGTCTGCTCATCCAGGGGATCCCTGCTCAGTCCCTAGCTTCTGTGTTGTTGTTATTACTGCCTGTCACTCCAGGTCCAATGAGACCCTTGCCTGGCTAAGTTTACTCATACTCACATGGCAGACACAAAAACATACACACACATACACACACACACGGCACACACAAAAACATACACATGGCAGGCAGGCAGACAGACACACAGACACACACACATGTCATACAGACATATAGACACATGGCAGACACACACACATAGATACAGCAGATATACACACATGCAATCATACAGGCATACAGACACATGGCAGGCAGATACACAACAGACACATATGGCAGACACACACAAACGCAGACAACACCATTAAAAAGACACACCCATAAAGAGAAAGTGGGAGTTTAAAACAAACAAATAAGCCGGGTGGTGGTGTTGCACACCTTTAGTCCCAGCACTCAGGAGGCAGAGGCAAGTGGATCTTTGTGAGTTCAAGGCCAGCCTGGTCTACAGAGCAAGTTCTGGAACACCCAGGGCTGCACAGAGAAGCCCTGTCTTGGGAACAAAACAAAACAAAATAAAAAATGCACCATATATCTGTAGGATGAATTAGGCAGTAGGTGTGTATAATATCTTAGAAGGAACCTCTACTTTAAGTACAGAATATTTATCAATTCAAGAAAAACAGAATGAGATATATACATATATGTACATAGAAAGACATTAGTAGTAAAAGACAGATTTTTTTTCCACCCTGGGGAAAAAACAGTACCAGGAATGGTGTGGGAAGTCCTTCTGTATATGTATTGCTTTTATAGGTTAATGAATAAAGAATCTGTTTCAGCCAGTGGCTTAGCAGAGCAGAGTTAGGTGGGAAAACTAAACTGAATGCTGGGAGAAAGAAGGCAGTGAGTCACCATGTAGCCACCAGAGGAGAAAGATGCCAGCTGCCTGCTGGAACCTTGCCAGTAAGCCACAGCCACGTGGCAATACACAGATAGTGGAGACAGGTTAGGTTAGGATTTAAGAGTTAGCCAGAAATATGCTTAAGCTATTGGCCAAGCAATGGTTTAAATAATATGGTTTCTGTGTGATTATTCAGCTGGAAACAAACAAGCAGCCTCCTACAACACAGAAGAAATAAACTTTGGTGTTTCCTGTCCCTGGGGTTTCCCCTATGTGGGTATTGCATTTGTTAATGTGTTTATTAACTTCTGAGGACATCTTAATGAGCATGTACTAAGTAGTATGACCAGATAAGACACGCAAGCTCATATCCTTAAGAACAAGAATTTATTTCACACCAGTGATACTTCACAGCTCATGACTAGCCTTCACTGGGTGGTCTTTTGAGTGACACATAATTTAAAAAGGAAGGGCAAAGAAAACTAGAACAACAAACAAACAAGACCTAAGGCACAGTTTTCAGCTCAAACTGCTGACACTATCTTCTATTTTTTTTTCAAAAGCCCTCTGTAAACTCAACATTGTTTCCATAAAAGCGTTAGAAATAAACAGGACGGTTACCTTTTCAAAATTAAGTTAGTCTGAACTCAGTTCACTTCTGCGGCAGAAATGCAAGACATGGCCCGCCCAGTGTTAGAAAAAAATAAAGTGTATGCTTTAAATAAAGCCAGGCGGTGGTCATGTACATGCTGAGGCAGGCTGATCTATGAGTTCAAGGCCAGCCTGGTCTACAAAATAAGTTCCAGGACAGCCAGGGCTGTTCAAAGAGAAACTCTGTCTTGAAAAACCAAAAATAATAAAAATAAAAAAAAATTAAAAAAAGATTAAAAGGCTCCCGCTGGCAGCTTAGAAAACAGCCTTGGTATTAGTTAATATTTTGGTTCACGATTCTGAAGTCTCCCGCATCAAAGGCTCGTGATAGAGTGTCCTGCCCCTTGGGGCAGAGGTCAGGGTGCACCGTGGACTCTGTGTGACTCCCTTGCCTCCTGACCTTCACATTTTTGTCTGTGAATCAGGTTCCAGTGTGGAGAGGGGGTTGTCCTTTCCTATGCTCTTTTTCTTTTCTTCTTCATCGAACTGAGCTTCGATCTCCGCTGGGTTGACGTAGGTGTAGAATCGAGCCATGATGGCGAATATCACACAGACAACCAGGAGCAATGAGGCGAACAGAACATACTCAGCCCACTTGGGAGGACCACAGGTGGAGCAAGGAAACAAAAACAAACCACAGGTCACATTCACTTGGTACTGTATGCCCATCTCCTTGCTACTTCTGGGTGGAAGATGCCTTAAAACAGCTAGAAAAAGCGGGGTACCCAGCAGAGACACACTGGGTTTTCTCAAATGTTCAAGGAACAGGGGACATTTTCCTACTAACATGGGGTGTAGAAACACCAGACTTTTGGGAAGATGAGAGAAATTTTCTGATTTTTTTATTGGATTTTTTTGAGACGGGGTTTCTCTGTGCAACTCTGGCTGCCCTGGAACTTGCTCTGCAGACCCCTGAGACTTGCAGACATCTGCCTGCCTCTGCCTTTTGAGGGTTAGGATTAAAGGCGTGCACCACCACCACCACCCAGCAATTTTCTGAAATGCTTCAGGTTTATGGCAGGCGCCAGAGGGAGTGAGAACCACCAACGACCAAGCAGTGGCCTTGCAGGACAGAGTGTGCTGAACACGGGTGGGAGAGATGGCTTCATGGCTCTGAATATCTGTCAATGGGCTCCCAGATCACCCACCAACCCCAAAACTCCAGCCCAGGGGTTCAGAGTGCTCTTGTGGCCTCCATGGGCATCTGCAGGTGAATGGCATACATATATGCATTCAGGTCCCTTCTCTACACACACACACACACACACACACACACACACACACACGCATAAATATTTCTTGACAGTACCTGGGCTCAAGAGCATGAAGCCCTATGGCCATTCCTGCCACAGGAAACAATGTAGCCTTTGTGTGCAACCAAGCTGAGCATCAGACAAGCCTGTGTTTCATTGTACTCTAAATGGGAAGGTGTAACTATTGAAAGAATGCCTTTCAGTTGTTGTGATGTTTCTGCACAAGGACTCTGGTTTTCTTTACTTTTTTTCTCCTTCCAATGCTGGGACTAGAACCCCCGAGCCTTGTGCATGCTAGGTAAGTGCTCTAGCATGGGGCTACACCCCTAGTCCACATGTCTATTTTAGGGTTCTTGAGTTGAATTCACAGAATTGATAATGGGTGTTTCCTTTGATAGTAGACTAATCTGGTGTCGGTTTCCAAGCAACAAGAGTCAGCAGAGATTCTGCCCAGCACCAGTGTGGCAGCTGGAGCAGATGGGCCTGGTAATGTTATTCAGCCATTGACTCGAATGGATACTTATTTATAGATATGGATACTTTATAGATAGCTCGGGAGGGTCATGGTGATAACCACCAATAGTCAGGAAGTTCAAAGTCAGCCTCAGATACACACAGCAAGTTTGAAGCCAAACTGGGCTACGTGAGACCTGGTCTCAAAAAAGACAGGAAAAAAAAAATAGGCACACCCAACCTTCTTTCCCTTATACCTGTTTCTCGAAGTGACCAGCCCCTGCCACGATGAGCACAATGATATTGCCAACCGCCACAGTTAAAAGCCAGCCTGCCTGAAGCACTGACTTCATGTTAGAAGGGGCCTGGGGGAGCAAAGCAAAATGGATTACGACCCGAGTCCTGCTTCAGGCCAGAAGAGCCCCATCTACCTCTCCCTTCACCCAGCATCCTGGACATGCAGGTTAGAAGTCAGGTTTAGTCAGGTGTGGTATCTCACACCTATAACCCAGCAGTTGGGAGGCTGAGGCAGGAAAACCGTGAGTTTGAGGACACCCTCGGCAACATGGCATGGCCCTGTTCTAAATATAAATATGTGTATAAGTAAATAAAAACAAGGTCAGGGTCATTTTAATATAAGGAGGGCATCGCTCACATGATGAAGCACAAAAACCCTCCTGAGGCAAGGCCTCTCTCCACACACAAGTGTCTTAGTAACGGGCAGAGCTACGGGCAATGGTATTTGCTCACAGTCTTTTAGGCAAAGCCATTTGTGGCATGTTCTCCCCCAAAGGGGGACTACTCTCTGGGCTGCAAACTTAGCCTTCTGCCACGTCCTTCCTCATGCTCTCGACAACTATGTCACAGTTTGTCAGACTGTGTGGTCATCTCAGAAAGGGGCGGCCTGCCCATGCTGACCATCATGAATACTGAAGGAAAAGATGCCAGGATGGAATGGCTTTGACTGTGCTTTTGACAAATATTTAGATATTAAGCTCTAATTAGGGTACTAATAAAATTTGTTTAATTAGCTGTGGTGGTTTGAATGTAACTGGCCCCTCATAGGGAGTGGCAAAATTAGGAGGTGCAGCTTTGTTGGAGTGGGTGTGGCTTTGTTGGAGGAGTGTGTCACTGTGGGGGGGGGGGCAATGAGGTCTCCTATGCTCAAACTATGCTTAGTTCAGTTCACTTCCTGTTGCCTTCAGATCAAGTTGTGGACAGAATTCTCAGCTCCTTCTCCAGCACCGTGTCTGCCTGCATGCCGTCACACAACCAACTGCCATGCTCCCCACTATGATGATAATGGACTGAACCCCTGAAACTGTAAGCCACCACCTCAGTGAAATGTTTTCCTTTATAAGAGTTGCTGTGGTCGTGGTGTCTCTTCACAACAATAGAAACCCTAAATAAGACTTAGCCAAATATATGTAAAAGCAAAAAAAAAAAAAAAGTAGTATTTTTCTGAGGTAGGGTGTTATATATCTCTGCTGACCTCAGACTTCCTATATAGCCAAGGATGATCTTGAATCGGACCTCCTTGCCTGTACCTCCCCAGGGCAGGGATTACAGGAGGGCACCGCCATACCTGGTTTCAGACAGTGCTGGGGTTTGAACCCATGGCTGCATGCGCGCTAGAAAACACTCTCATGAACTGAGCTACATACTAAGACCCAGTCTTACACAACCAACAAACAAAAGAGGCTCTAAACATGTGGACATCCCAGATTCAAATCAAGTTCCCTCAGCGGTTTTCTGAGGGCATCAGGCAGCAGAGGGGAGGAAGAAACAAGAGACCTGGGAATAGGAGAACTCCAGTCCCGTGACGGAGAAGACCACTTCGCCACAGGTGAGGAGGAAGTACTGCGGGATCTGTAGCGCCATGTTCACCGTGTTGGGTGGGATGTCTTCAAATTCCTTCACTTCCAGGCAGCCGTCATTCTAGACCACCAAAGCAACAAGCCGGTGGTTGAGAAGGAAGCAGAGACACCCTTTAGACTAACATCTGTTCATACAGACAAATTGAGTTGACCTTCTAAGGTTAAATCCCACACCTTATGAAGCCAGTGCCCATTTTAAATACAATGTTGGAAGCAGGTCAGTTAAAACCGTGCACCCTAAAGTCAACAGTCCATAAGGAAGCATCAAATACTGGTTGGAAGGAACATTTAGCTACTGTGTAACTAAGTCTGCTGGGTCAACTAAAGTCAACAATAAGTTAGAGAATCAGTGGTGGGCCAGTGGGGAAAGGGGCCACCAAACCTAATAACCTGAGTTTGAACCCTGCAATCCACACAGTGGAAAAAGAGAAGGGATTCCTAAAGGTTGTACCTACACACGCGCGTGCGCGCGCGCACACACACACACACACGTGCATGCACACATGCTCTTGCACAGTTAAAAAAAAAGAATTACTGGTGAGTTGAACTAGTTCTAAGCCCATTTACAGGTCCCAAGTCCTCTTGTTAATCATAAGTACATCCTGAGTGTCTGTGAGGAGGAGGAGTCTCTGTGAGGAGTGTCTGTGAGGCTATCTGCTGTGCTGGAATGAGCTACTAACCCCCCTTGTGATCACATAGGTGTAGGCACTGCCGAAGTCAAGGCTGGAGGATTTAAAGTCGCTTGAACAGGTTGATGCAATCTCTGTGGAGTTTATTGTGTATTCTTTTCTATTAAAAGAAAGAAAACAGAGGTTACGGTTCTTGGTATTAGAGTATTCCTTCCTTCCTTCCTTCCTTCCTTCCTTCCTTCCTTCCTTCCTTCCTTTCTTTCTTTCTTTCTTTCTTTCTTTCTAAGAAAAATACTAAGCAACCTTGAATTTGGAAACAAGTTGCCCAGAAAAGGTACTTACTGGCCAGAAGGAAAGAACTGGTAATCGCTGATATTGTTACTGGCGATGTCTGCGTACACCTTCCCACTCATCGTGACGGTTAGCGCCTTGGTAAGGGTGTTGACAAATCTGGAACAGAAAGCCATCTGTCGCGTAACCAAACAATGGAATGATTTCTTCTCTGTCCCAAGTCTGGGACCCCATGTTAGGCTATGTTCCTTTGTGAAGGGATTTAAGATGCATACAGAAAATTCCCAGGGTCTAGAGGCAGGAAGTTGGCTATCTTACGGTTGTCTCTGCCCACCCATTTATGAGAACGCCCTTCCAGCAAGGTTTTTATTTTTTTGGCCCTTCCCATGTTGAACTCTGAAAGTTTTCATGCAAGCAGCACCAACAAAGCCTGGCTGTCTTCTAGAAAGAAAGGGAACCTGTCCCTGTTTCCATGCCCAGTTAATGAATGCCCCTACATATCAATCAGCCTTGACATTGTCCCTTGCTAAACCTCAGGAGGAAGCAGGTAAGCTACTTGCCTTCCTAGGTCCATACAGAATGTTGCAGCGAGAACAGACAGTTACAGATGTAACCATAACATAGGCTAGAGACTCTATGCTACCAAAGACTCTGAGATTCTTATACTGACCTAGGGATGAGCATGGTGCTTCCCCAAGGGAGTTGTTTGTTTTGTCCCCCAAATAGGTAGTGACAGACTCTAGCAAACAGTTCAATACATTGAACAAGAAGTAATGATGGCCATCTAAGTACTATAAAGAACAACTTAACCACTGTATCTCTGAAATATATGGCCCAGTTTTACCAGCTTCATGGCATTTCTTTGATAGAATAGTGTACATATATATTATATTTATAGTTATATAATTATTTGTATATATAAATTATACACACACACACAAATAATTTTTGAGACACGGTTTCTCTGTGTAACAGCCCTAGATTTCCTGGAACTCATTCTGCAGATTAGGTTGGCCTTGAACTCACAGATATCTGCCTGCCTCTGCCTCCCGAGTGCACCACCACCACCTGGCCAAAAAATTTTTTTTTAAAGATTCCATATCAACATTTAATGTGTGTGTGTTTTTTTTGCATGCAGGTGCCCTCAGAGACCAGAAGAGGACATCAGATACCTTGGAATTGGAGTTACAGGTCGGTGTAGATTGCTGGACTTGGGTTCTAGCCATCAAACTGGGATCTTCTGCAAGAGTGGTACCTAGTTTTAACTGCTGAGCCCCCTCCAGCCCCATGGATACTATATTTATATATAGTGGATATAGGCTCACAATATTTTTTTTACTAAAAATGATAAAATTTAAGGACTACTTCCATAGAGAAACTATATCCACATGAAGAACAAGGTGAGGATACCGATTATGGTTATGTTTTAAGAAACTAAGAAGGAGCTGAATATCCTGGGCTAGAGATCTAAGCCATGGAAGGCCAGTGTGTGGTCAAGGGAACAGATAAGGGGCGCAGATGTCAATATGTAATAGTAAAGTTATACATGTTACATAATATTATTGGTAGCATTACTATAGAGCAATATATGCTGGTGACAATAACTTTTATATTAGTATATGTTTAAAAGCATGCTAAGAAACATATTGGTTATGGATATGTAATATATAGCAATATCTAGTGAAAATGCAGGGGGAAACAATATTAAATTCTCAACCAATTTTGAAAAGATTTTTATTTTTTGTTTCTGTCTGTGTGTGTGGCCCTTGGGTGTGTGACACGTGCGTGTGGATGTCAGCAGAGGCAGAGAGAATGTCTGATCATCTGAAGTCGGAGCTACGGGAGGTTCTAAACTGAGAAGAACTCTTTCTCTCAGTTTTTTTTTTTTGCATAAATAAATTCTTGCCAATTTATTTAAAACATGACAATTTAAATCTCACAATGTGCTGATGGTGTAATATAAAACCTCATTTGCTTGAAATTTTGTGTCTCCTTTCTTTAATTTATGTATTAGTCAGAAGTCTGATTTCATGGAGGTTTGGAAGCCGTTCTGCTTATCAACCTTTCCTAGTCTTCTAGAACTTTCCCTATTGCCTCCAGGGCACCATGGAAACAATCAGTCCTGTTGCCAGGTAACAGAAGAGTGATTTGTCTATAACCACACACGTGGGTGGGAAGGGCTAAAGTGTTAACAGAAAAGTGATTTGTCTATAACCACACACGTGGGTGGGAGGGGCTAAAGTATTTACAGAAAAGCGATTTGTCTATTACCACACACGTGGGTGGGAGGGGCCAGCATGTTGCTAACGCTATGCAGTTCTCTTCTTCAAGACTCCATCCAAGATATTTTTATATTTACAACCTCATCATGTAGACTACACACAAAGACACTGTTTACATTAATCTTTTAGGGGCTGAAGAGGTAGCTCAGTCAGCAGAGCACTTGCCTCTAAAGCGGAGACTCAGCACACTTGAAGCTCTGGGGGCAGAGGCTGGGGTTCACTGGCCAGCCAGCCTGACCGGTGCATTCCAGGTGCCAGCCAGGGCAAAAAACAACATGGACACCCGTGAAGACCAACACGAGGGTTGGCTTCCTAGTGTGCATGCGTGTTTTAAAAACTTCAGTTGTACTCGTGAACAGCTGATTCCAGTAAGTGTGTGCACGCATACACGCAGACACACACACAAGCTTTTAAACACCTTGTACTAGTGAGCTGCCAACTTGAGTTTGATTCCTGGAGTCTACCAGTGAAAGGAGAGAGCTGACTCCAACAGCTGTCCTCTGATATGCGCACAGGGGCACACGCATGCCCCCCAACACACGCATACTAAATAAACAAGCTATCTAAGATTTAAAGAGACTGGCAGGTCTCTCAGTGGGTGAAGGCGACTGCTGTCAGACCTGACGACCTGAGATTGGTCCCCAGGACCCACATGGTGTAAGACGGAGACAGCTCCTGAAAGTTGCCCTCTGACCTCCACCCCCCCATATATATATGTATGTATATGTGTATATATACACATAAATAAATGAATACATATATACATACAAATATACACATAAACAAATAGCCTAAATCTCATAATCTACATTGTCCAAAGTTTCCAGTGTTAGGGGCCATTTCTAAGGAATCAAAGCAATGGAAATTTTCTGAGGACAAAACGAAACCCCAGAGGTGCTTCCAGTTCAGAGCCAAATACAAACCACAGAGCAGATCTGTGTGGGAGCGTATGTGAGAGAGAGAGTGTGTATATGTGAGTGTGTGAGAATATATGTGTATGAGAGTGTGTGTGTGTAAGAGAGAATGTGTGTGTATGAGATGAATGAATCCTGAATTCTGCCAGACTGATTTTCTACATCAGTTGACAAGCTAAGTGGACTTTCTGCTCTCGTTTATGAAGATGATGGATTATGTTGGCTGAAGCAGCCGGCACTCTTGGTGCGACGGAGCCCTTCCATGCCCGTGTTATAACTAGCTTCGATGACAGGAATGTGCCAAGCTCTGCTAGAAGCTAAAGCACAGTTTCAGAAATCTCCATACCTGATTCCATTTTCTCCTTTGTCTGGCTTCTGGTTAAGCCCATCTTTCACCTAAGAGAGAGAGAAAAATAATATAGAAATTATTCCTGAGACGTTGAGAGGGCTAGTGTGGAAGGCCTTGCTGTGCAAGCCTGTCTCTGAGTTCACCCCCGAAGCCATGTACTCAGGCCACAGCTGTCCTCTCACGCCTTTACACACACCGTGACAGGCACACTCTGCTCTCTTATGTGCCATCATGGGCACGTGCACACACATACATACAACACACACACATATATACAAATATACACACATACACACACGTGAATAAACACACATGCACATAAACATACACACACAAACATACACAGACATACACACAAACACACATTCACACATATATACAACACAGATATGCATATACACATATGACACACACACGCATGTATACATAGACACACAACACATGCATACACACATAAACACACACATAAACACACACACTTAGATTGTGGAATAATCCTTTTGTACACGGTGAAGATGTGTCACTTTGGTTGGTTTAATAAAAAGCTGAATGGCCAATAGCTAGGCAGATTTCTGGGGCAGAGAGGATGTGGGGAAGAAGAAAGGTGAGGACAGGAGAAGACATTGAACAAGCGGAAGTGCAAGATGAAAGAGAGTTAACATCACGTGGCAGAACATAGGTTAATATAAATGAGTTAATTTAAGCTAAGAGCTAGTTGAGACAAGCCTAAGCTAAAGGCTGAACTTTCAGAATTAATGTAAGTCTCTGTGTTGTTATTTGGGGGCTGATTGGTGGGTCAGAGAGAGACTTGTTACACATACAACACACACACACACGCTCATACACTCACACACACAATAAATTAAACAATAAAGTGATTTCCTAATATTTAGCACATTAGAATCAATTCACATTAACGCTTCAGACTTCAAGTTCATGATATTGGCCCTTGTCCTGGGAGATAAGGGTTCCCTTTCTTCATCCCTGCGTTCCCACCAGGCTAACACATGCTTCTGCTGTTATTGATCCCTGACTGTCAGTGGTTCCAAAGAGCATGACTCTCCAACAATTCAGACTGTCCGACCCTAGGACATTGCAACACTGTGTTGTCAATACAAAGTTCATGTGTGAGAGTCGTGCAGATGAGTCAGGAAAATCATTGCAAAACGACTCTTCTAAGGCTTTAAGTACGCACATTTGTGCTGGGCCACACTCGGAGATACCCTGGAGTGTGTGTTGCCTGCGGGCCACAGGCTGGACACCCCCCTTACAGAACGAGCCCCTCAACAGCTCCCTGATTAAGCAGATGGCCAATAGCATTAATTGCACATCGAGTTTTTTGTGTGTTCTTATTCAAATTCCCTTCAGACTGACTGAAGTTCCTTTATTTGGCTCAACTACATCTTCACTCTTCATATACCAAATGACATGTCTGCATCTTATCAACAAATATTCCATAATTATTTTCGTCCTTGTATTTGCTGTGCACGCCATACTTTTGTAAGACTGCTCTAATGAAGGGCATATTGAAAAGGCTCATACAAATAAAGACACATTAAGTGATTTATCTCAAAATGCCTCTGAGAATTACATATGTATCCATGCGATATTTACACATGTTCATATGTATCCAAGTGATGGGCACACAGTCATCACAGCAAAACATTATTTACCTTTACATTTTTATTGTTTTTGTTTTTTTTTTTGAGTCAGGGTCCCTCTGTGTCATTCTGACTGACCTGGAAGTCAAAGAAATCCTTTTGTATCTTCCCTGAGCGCTGGGATTAGAGGCGTGTGGCACTATGCTCAGCTGGGAAGGGCTTTGCTACCAGTCCAGGCTAGTGTCTACCTCCTGAGAGCTGGTGAAAAAGGGGTGCACCAACACAACTGACCCCTAGTTTTCCTTTTAAATCATAACTAATATTAATCCTTCCTATCCACCAGCCAAACCCTTTACTGGAAGTCAAATGACCTGTGTTCTTGAAGAAAGAAGATTGGCTAATATAGTACTCTATATAGATAAAGCAACGTCATGCCAATACAAAGCTGTATCCTGAGCCTGGAGAGACCTGGGTTTGGTTCCCAGCACCACATGGTGGTTTACGACTATCCACAACTCCACTTCCAGGGGATCTGATGCCCTGTTTGACCTCCTCAGACACCAGGTACCCATGGAGTGCACATAATGTGTATACAGATAAAATACCCAAACACAGAATAAAATCTAAACTTGAAATCTGTGTCTCTAATATTGCAAATAGCCAAGAGAAAGCTGAACGTATCACCTACTTACCATAAGCATACCACTGGGGGCCCATACTAGAAGGGTGTAGCGTTGGCCTGGCTCAAAATCAGGGACAATTTCAGTGACTGGAGATCCAGGAGAAGATATGTTTATGCTTGTTAGCTTGTCTACATCAAAAGTCTTGAAACCGTTTGTCTGGATGGGGGTGAGGTGGGGGAGGAGGTAGAGTCAGCACTGTGCATTTGAACACTGTAATGCCATGTTACATGGCAATCCACGTTCATATACATCCAATACCTTGTAGGGACTTCACACTTGGCCTCCCACCCACACAGACACTTCCATACAGCTCTTCTGTATTGCCACAGGGATTATATCATTCACCAAACACTTTATTTTGTTTTGCTCTAAGGAAACTCATTCTGTGAAATCATTTATGGTACACTGGAGAGATGGTTCAGTGGTTAAGAGCACTGCCTGCTCTTCCAAAGGTCCTGAGTTCAATTCCCAGCAACCACATGGTGGCTCACAACCATCTGCAATGAGATCTGGTGCCCTCTTGAGGAAGAGACATGGTCTGTCGTCCTCATCACCTTAGACCATGAAACCCAAGATGGACAAGTTCAACAGAACGGCCATATACAGGCTGCCCATGCATGCTCCAGCATTGCCAGGGCATTAAAAAAAATTATGTAAAGAACAGTACCAGGAACTGGGGGTGGAGAGATGGCTCAACGGTTAAGTGGCTGTTCTTCCAGAGGATCTATGTTTGATTCCCAGCATCCATATGGTGGATCACAACCATGTATAACTCCATTTCCAAGGGCTTTGATACCCTCCTCTGGCCTCTGAGGGCACCCGGCACATATGTAGGCAAAACACTCATACACATTAAAAATAAATAAATAAATAAATAAACACAAAAACCACCAGAGGAAAAGCAATGGCTCTGGTGACATCAATATGGGCTTCCTGATGACCAGGAGCCAAGCTTCCAACACCTTCAACAAGGTCATCAGCTTGTCAGGTCTAAGTTCACTGCTCTAAGTGAGGTAGACCAGGAATGAGAGTAGATGAACCCACACCATTGAGGTTAGGACCTCAAGGTTCTCCAAGTGACCAGACTCAAGGCTGGGAACCAGTATTCAAGGGCAGTGACCTTTAGAGTAGAGTTTCGACACCAGCATTGTGAACACCAGGACAGATATACCTCTGTATACAGCATTGTGTGTGCCTCCCCATGGAGGCTGAGCACCCGTTGGCTTCCATATGTGAAATGCCAGCATCACACTCTTGGTTTGTAACGACAAAGAACTGTCTGTAGAGACTGTTCAAGATCTCCTCAGGGATGCTGTCGGCCCAGTTTGGAGCCGCGGAACCTCCCTGCTGTTGGAAGGGCAGCTTCCCAGAGCAGCAACACGCGGGAGGTTACAGAAATGCAGCAGTTCTGGCCTACAGATCAAGTCCGCGGGGTACCAGCGTGCTGAGTGCCCACATTCAAGTCAGAGGCCCGCCGGCCTAGAGAGTAGTATGTCGTGGGCATCGGCATGTGACAATCTTAGACTGGCTTTGGGGTTTATACAAGGACCCATAAGAACGGATCCTCCGAGTTGGGTTGTAAGCCAGGGGAGAAGACAAACAAGGAGGCCCCATGGCCTCTCACTTACTTGAGACATTTGCTCAAGGTTCACACTCTCTCCAGGAAGATGCACATCCATGTTACTGTTTCCTATGTTCAAGACTTTAATTTGGACTTGATTTTCTGTCGCGAAGACGGGAAGAGTTTTCTAGGAAAGAGAGAAGGAAATCAACAGTGAGGGCTCCTGGACAGCCACTGTCACCCTGGGTCTGGGGGTCACTCTCCTCTGCAGTCTGGGGGTCACTCTCCTCTGCAGTCTGGGGGTCACTCTCCTCTGCAGTCTGGGGGTCACTCTCCTCTGCAGTCTGGGGGTCACTCTCCTCTGCAGTCTGGGGGTCACTCCTCTCCTCTGCAGTCTATAGCTGCATCCAGGGAGACGTGAAAAACAGCTGGATAAGCCCGCTGGTTACATCTGGCATAGGCACGGAACATTATTTAGCCTTAAAAACAAAGGGGATCTTTTTATATCCTCTAAAAAGGGTAAACCTTGAGGGCATTATAAAAGAAGCCAACCACAAAAGGAAAAACGCCCCATGATTATATGTGGCGATATTTTCTTTGTGCTGTAACAAATAAAGCTTGCCTGAAGATCAGAGTGTGGAGCGAGCCACACTAGCCAGCCATAGAGGCCAGGCAGGGGTGGCTCACACCCTTAATTCCAGCTCCGAGTCACATGCCTTTAACCCCAGCATTTGGGAGGTGGGGACAGGAAGGGGTACAGTTGGGCGGAGAGAGGAATAGAAGGTGGGAGGACACAGACGATCACCGCATTCAGTCTGAGGATCCCTAGAGACAGGATACCCCATTTGGTCTGAGGACTCGGTAGAGGGAAGGATCAGCAACTTCCGATCTTTCAGCATTTACCCCTATATATGATCCGGGGTTTTTATTATTAAGACCAATTAGAAATCATACAACAGTTATGATCCTGTGATGCTCAGAGCAGACTCCTAGAGATGGATTGTAGAGTGGTGCCTGGCCAGGGGAGGGGGAGGCGTTAGCTCTGAACGGCACAGAGGCTTCATTCAGGCAGATGGAAAATTTCTGGAAGTATGTGTGGTGCGGGATCCACGGTAAAGGGAACCGTACTGAGCCGCGTGCTTAGAAATGGTTAAGACGGGAAATTTCATTTATGAACGTTCACTGCCATGAACTGTGTGTGAGAAGAGAGAGAGTCTCTCTTCCAGTTTTATGAATCGCATTGTCCTTTTCTCTAGAACTAAAGTCTTATCTCCAGTAGGCAGCACTGGGCTGGTTTAGAAAAAGTGCACCCAACAGGTTTCAGGATCAGTTTAGTCATCAACCCTTAGTAGATATATTAAAATCCAAAATGTGTTTTTCCCTGAAAAGGACAGTGCATGTATTTCTGAAGTGCCTGTCTGTGAACGATAAGCCTCTTCTCATCAAAGCGTCCAGAACAACTCTGTGAACTCATCTCTCAATAGGGAAACTGGATTATAGACAGAAGCTACACACGCTGTCTTTCCAACTATAAGGAAGCCCGCCCATCAGTCCAGGACAGAACCCATAGTGCTAACTGGTGGATGATCTGTGCACCCTCCTCCCCACCAGCACCCTCCCACGGTCCTTTACCCTAGCATTTCCTACTGCTTATGGGGAGAGCCCCCTTGTCTCCTCGAATCTTCCCAGCCCCAGAGAGCTCACGAGGGGTCCAGGAGAAAACTCACATCGATTTCCACCTGCACAATTGCAGCCGCCACGAAGGCCATGGAAGCCAGGAACATCCCAACTGTCATCTTCTTCAGCGAGCTGGTGAGGACAGGAGGAGAGTGGACATCAGCCCGTCTCACCCAGACAAACCAAGAGTGGGCCCCCAGGGGAAAGCCTCAGCCTCTCCCAGCCCGGCCACTTCCCTGTAAAGATAGCCACCTCTGGAGCTGTCATTGTTTTGTGAGAGTATGGAGGGACATTTCATTTGTATTTTAATAAATAAAGCTTGCCTGAAGTTCAGAGAGTGAAACAGCTGCACTGGTCAGCCTTACAGACCAGGCAGTGGTGACACACACCTTTAATCCCAGTAGCCACACTGTTGTTATTCATGGCCAGAACTAGTGAGGCCAAATAGAACCCTTATCTGTACTATCACATTTAATTTCTAGAAATCCTGTGGCCATAACTAACACTTCATGTATGCACAAATGAGAGCCTTGATTATCAGCTTTTCTCGGGCTTCCATTAATACAGCATTTTCAGAGATATACATACAAACATCTCCCTTTAAAACTGTATGCGTGCATCATGCAAATGAGTGCGGATTTATACAAGCCCATGTATGCACATGAGGAGGCCATAGGCTGTCTTCTGACCCTGCCCACCTTATTTCTATGACGCAGGATCTCTCAGTGATATGTAGCTTATCACGTTGGGCTGAACTGGTTAGCCAACACACTCGAGGGATCTGCCTGTCTCTGCCTGCAGCTCTGAAGTTGTGGGCGCACACTGCCTATGCCTGGCTTTTGACATAGGTCCTAGGGGTCTGAACGAAGACCTTCACGCTTGTACAGCAAGGTCTCTTACCCAGTGAGATATCCCCCATGCCCCTGACCATCTCTTAAATTGATTTCTTTAAAGTCTTCACCACCACCAGGCCTTGTAGAACAGCCTGTAAGCCATCTCCCTGGGTGGCTTGCAAGTTCAGAACCTACCTGGGCTGTAGAATAAATTTAAAACTAGCCTTATCTCAGAATAGAAAGGAAAAAGAAGCTTGGGGTTCTACGTCAATAGAAGAACATTTGTTTGGCGTGTGTGAGTCTCCTTCATTCAATCCCCAGTACCGCAAAAATAAAATAAATAAATGCCCCACCTCTAGGACAGTGGTTTTCAACCTTCTAACTGCCACCCTTAATACATTTCCTCATGTGGTGGTGGCCCCTAACCAGAAAATGATTTCCGTTGCTACCTCATAACCGTAGTATTGCTACTGTTATGAATCATAATAAGAATAGCTGTGTTTTCTGATGGGCTTAGGTGACCCCTGTGAAGGGTTTTTTTGATCCCCAAAGAGGTCATGACGCATAGGTTGAGAAATGCTGATCTCGGTGGATGCTTCTGGAAGCAGAGTCTTTGCAAAACCCTGAACCAAATAGCATCTCCGTCAACCCCAATCAAGCAGCTACCTACGTGAAATTGAAACATTTCGCAATGAGAGGGTACACCACGGCATCCATGATGGGGACCATGATGACAATCAAGATGGCATTCACAGTCTGCAGAGGAAGTGGAGAGGGGCCGTTAGTGCTGTCTCAATAAGCAGGTGGACCTTGGAAAGGGACCCCAGGGGTTTCTCCTACCTGCATCTGGTCTGGCTGAATTTCCATACTTCCCTAAAAAAAACGGAGGAAAATATTACTGGAAAAAAATGCCACAAAAGGGAGGGAGGAAGGGGGCAGGGGACTGACATGAAGGGGTGGTGACCAGAACAGAAGGACCACAAGGACAGGCAGACTTACAATCTTCCCACTCATGGTTGTTGCTTGCAGCGTCCACCTGGAGCCCTGGAAAATATAAATTGATTGCGTCATGGGGGCGTGTGGCTTTTTAGAATGTGATGATCTACCACTGAACCTTCTAAGTCAGGAAGAAAATGGTATGGGATTTGAAGTCGTCACAAACATCCATCTGACTTCTACTCCGTCACAATACTAAGAAGACAGAGACCAGCGGTACGCCCGCAGACCTAACTCTGCCCTGGGATTCATGAAGGACCCAAGACTAAGCTATCCTCAGAGGATGCAAAAGCACAAGGCTGTGTGAATACATGGTATCTCCTCTCAGGGTGAGCTCATCGGGGCATGGTGTTCTACGTGTGCTGGCATCAGTATCGAATATCAAATTGTAAAGAACCATCTTCTGAAAGCTATGGAGGGGGTTTAAATGCTTCTCAACAAAGACAGAGGTGGCCTTAAATCTGGGCAGCCTAGCTGCAGTTCATCTGTTTCTTACAGGATGTGATGATGTTTTACGGCCAACTAAACACTCAATGGATCAATGGAAACCCATCGACTCCATGGGGAAGACAACAAGGAAAACGGCAGAGTTGTGTTGTTTGAGTTCTTAGTATGCCCTAGTCACTGGGGGCCTTGTGTGTAATGTCCAATGTGGGCCTCACAGCAGAGGTGGGTGGGGGGTCAGTTCTGAGCCAAGTCACCCAGCTGTAGGGATGCCTGTACTTCTCGTGCAGGTCTGATTCCAGTCAGACTCCCACCCAACACGCAAGGTGGTTCCTTTGTCCTGCCAGGATGCTCTGAGCTTCACACTTCAGACAAGGAGGTGTGTGCACGCTCAAATGTTCTCCAAGGATTGCCCTCCCTTCCGCTAGTCCTGTCTGTACAGTGTCGACTAGCTGTTCAGTCTCTTGAAGAAACAGTATCTCCTTGTTCGATTAGCGGGTGTTGTATGCTGGTTTAACTGATACGATTGTGTAGACCCCAGTGTGTGTCCTACACATGGTCTCAAATCACGTCTGTGCACATATGGGAAACACTAACGGGACCTTGGTTATCATCACAACAATAAAGGAGAACATGAGGCCAAGAGGGACGTGGGGTGGGTCAGTTGGAAGGAGGTGATTGTGTATGGATATGATCAAAATACATTGTATAAGTGCATGACTGTTTCAACAATGCAAAAGAAAGAACAAAGCCACAAGTCTTGGTCTGGTCAAGCACTAGGAGGACTTGGATCCAGTCATTTCCAAGCCTGTCTGGTGCTTTGAGCTCACTATTCTGTTTTTTGTTTTTTTTTTTTTTTAAATTCTATTTATTTATTTATTAATTTATTATGTATACAGTATTCTCTCTATGTGTATGTCTGCAGGCCAGAAGAGGGCACCAGATCTCATTACAGATGGTTGTGAGCCACCATGTGGTTGCTGGGAATTGAACTCAGGACCTTTGGAAGAACCGGCAATGCTCTTAACCACTGAGCCATCTCTCCAGACCCACTATTCTGTTTTTAAGAAGATCTAGCACACATCTCTTCAATACCTTTCTGCCATACTGGGTCAGTAGAACAAAACCCTGCCCTCGGTTCTGACTGGCAAGGGTACCAGACGCTCTGAGGCAATCTCCCCAGGGTTACTCTAAGTAAACAAACCTCGTTTTCTTTATTGATTCACAACAGACATGTGGACGGAACTTCTCAGGGTATGTTTTAACCAATAAACTCAATCTGATGCAACAATTAAATCAGCAAAATAAAAAAAAAAAACTGGAAGAGGGTTTTTAGGAGCTGAACATGCATGTGACTGGGTGACCTAGCGGTACTCACTACCTTCTGATGAAACAAGACACATACCTGCTGATCAAACAAGGCCCAGAACATGGGGAGTGGGATATATAGGAACATCACCTTCATGACCATCTTAACTTGTGAGATAAGCCGCTCCTGCAGGTAGACAAATCAGCCCGGGCTGGAGTCAGCAGCAGTTGCTACTCTGTTGCAAAGTTGGGATATTTGCATCTAGGACAAGCTGGGGGTGGTTATTCGGTCTAAGGAACATGGCCACAGGCTTTTAGGAAACCAGAATGTTCTGCACACGTGACGGTCCCAGGGAGAACAGCTGTTTAGGGGTTCAGCCACCAGAGCTTACTCCATGTCAATCCCAAGGTTACCACCACCCCCGCTCCTCTGTTCCACGTAATGGAAGCTGACCGGAGTGGACAGTTATGACAGGCTCGCATCTACCATGGCCAATGGTAACCACTGTTTTGGTTATCAGCCATACAGAGATGTACTTCACGTGCTATTAAGTGTGAGGTGAACACGCTGAAGGTGTTGCCCATGTAGCTAACATTCTGCTTTGAGCTTTCCTTTCACGCCTGCTTCCTGAGCAGCCAGGTCCACTGGAGAAGATGGGAGAGGTGACTTACGTCGTATTTCTCTTTAGCCCAGTCCAGCCAGTGTTCCCTCTTGGGAAATTGCTTACTTCGATGCCTAAATCTGTTTTTGATGGCAAACTGAAGAAAGGAAGAAAAATTAATTTAAAAAGAGAATCAACTATACCAGAAAAATACATTTCAATGATTTCCCTTTTAATGGACGAAGATGGAGGAAAAGCCCATTTTTAACTAGTAGATACCAGCATGGCGCATTTGCTGAAACCTTCAACAGGTTCTCTTTCTAATCCAGACGCCTGTGTTCAGGTCCCATTGTCAGTGCTTTACCCCTAGTCTGTCTAGAAAAGCATGTTCAATAGGAATGTTCCAACACATTTATATTTAAGTTTCTTGCAGCCAATTAACAAGCAAAAACAAAATACAATAAAACCCAGTCCCAGACAGGGTTTCTCTGTGCATCCCTGGCTGCCCTGGAACTTGCTTTGTAGACAAGGTTGGCCTCGAACTCAGATATACACCTGCCTCTGCCTCCTTCGTGATCCTTTATGCCTCTGCTGGGATTAAAGATGTGCGCCACCACCACCTGGCTCTATTTGGTAAGCTGTATACAGAAAAAACTCCCAAGTGCCCTAAAAAAATCATCTTGAAGGGAAAATCAAAACTTTGTTGATTTTTTCTTTGTTTTTTAAATTGAACTTTGATTTGAAGGAGGTGGAAGGCAGAGGAAAGTTCTGGAATGATTTAATGTGGCCAGGAAAGGGGGGGGGAGCGGGAGGGGGCGGGGAGGGGAGGGGAAGACAGCACTTACACCGATGCACTTGGCCACTTTGCTCATGATGTTGCCTTGGGGCTTGAACTTCTTATACATCCCACTACCGAGGACAAACACAACTGCACAGGGCAGAGGAAGAGGTGTCACTGTGGCCTGCGCCAGGGCTCCCTGTGGTCTGAAAGACGCTCATGTATCTGTACCATCCCGTTGTCTGGAAGCATGGGATTGCATATAGCGCCATTCCCCTGCCTCACTGGTAAAGAACTGCTCTTGATTAGAGCAACCCCCAGGGCCTCTGGGGAGCGGGACATCTGTGCTGCAACACACAAACCACAGCCTCATGCCTTCTATCACCTCCCCACTGCCATTCAGCACAGCTATCTGAACACATCCTAGCTATTTAAAGGGGAGCAAGGGCACAGGAGTTTCTGCATGCCATTGGCTTACATTATTCTACAAAGACAATAAATACAGCATTAATATTTTTGGCTGTAATAGCAAGAGGAATTTTCTTCCTGCTCTTAATATTCAGGAGAAAGGGACTAATCTGTTGAAAGGTTTAGTTAATCATCAATGGTGGAATCCCCACCTCCAACTATTGTACAGAAGAAGCAGGGCTATAACTAATTGCTTCTACAGCTGCTTTGATAAATATGAGAGACCCTTTTCAGTGAGGCTATTATTCTTTTGTGGGGCTTGGTAATAATAGGCCTTTTGTGAAAAGGACCCAGGAAGACAGCACTTCTGTAGGAGAGCCTACATTAGGTTTCCAGATCACCCAATGCCACAGTTTGATAACTCAGAGCATCAAGGCATCGCATGCTTCTCCTCGTTAAGCCTGAGGCATTGACAGTCACTGCCCTCAGGGTCATAACTGTTCTGCAGATGCCCTTCATGACCAACTTGCTGATGCTGGCACATGCCAGCATTTCTCTTCGCCAGACACTACTTTAACCTTTCAGCTTTTGACAAACTGAAACCTAACTCAAGCACAGAAATTTCTAGAAGAACTTCAGATGCCTGTGGTCTTAATTCTTTCATAAGAAGAGACAGAATCTTTTTCTTAAGAATGACTTACATGGACTAGATGAGAATTCACCTGAAGTGTCTTTTTCTACTCAGAACTGAGAGAAGCGTACGTAAGCCCTTTAGAGGAGGGTGGCCATCTTTGAAGGATGACGGGAGAAAAGAGATGTTTGGAAGGGGTAAGGACAGTGGTTTCATAATGGTAAAACAACGCAAAGTTGCTTCAATATGATAAAAAAGAGGTGAAAAAATAGTTCTATTTATATACTAGTAAGACCTGGAAACAACCTGGAGAAAGGTCGAAGGAGCCGTGGAGACTTGAGAGGACCATTGGCCAGGCCTTTCTCACACTAACTCTCAACTCAGAACATTCCAGATTGCATCTTTTCATTTCTTAAGAAAAAAATACTCAAAATTAATGCACATGTGTAGAATCTAGATTCTATCTATCTATCTATCTATCTATCTATCTATCTATCTATCAATCATCTATCTATCTATTCATCCATCTCTCCAACTATCTATCAATCAATCTATTTATCTATCTATCATCTATCTGTTCATCCATCTATCCAATTATCTACCTATTATCTATCTATCTATCTATCTATCTATCTATCTATCTATCTATCTATCTATCCGTTCATCCATCTATCCAATTATCTATCTATCTATCTATCTATCTATCTATCTATCTATCTATCTATCTATCCATCCATCCATCCATCCATCCATCCATCTCTCTCTCCCGAAAGTAGAGGGAACTGTTTCTGGGGAGGAAGGGGAGCAGCCAGAAGGATGAGGAAGGACTGGCCTAGGTAATGGGGAAGCGAGCGTGGAAAAGATAGAAAGAGACAATGACAACCATGTATGAACTGTCATAATGAAGCTTGCCATTCTGCGTACCAGCTAACAGTAATCTAAAAAGAAATACAGCCCCTGATATAAAAAACACGCGCGCAAATAAATATAACTACTAAGTACATATATTCCTTCCAGCAGGAAAGGGGTGGAGTAGACACCCTTGGCATGATGTATGATGGGAACTTAGATCCTAGCAGGAGTATTTAGTGGCCATTGAACGAGATTCTTTACTCGAGCTGACCCCGTTTCCCTCCTGTAATATAGCTACCTCACTTTCCTCTCCTAGAGGGAGAGCATGCCAAACACCCAATGCAGGTCTTCACAATACTTTCTCTTACAACTTGGCACATGGACGTAAAAAATTAGCCATGATAATATGGAGCCTGACCTGGGCATGGGCTTGTGTCCCTCCAACCCATTTTTACTTACTTAGGGAAACAGCCATGAGAGCCGCCGGAACCCCAAAGGCCAGTGGGTAACAAGCTTGTTGAGTGTGGATTCCACATTCCTGAACTAAGGAGAAATAATGATTAAAATGCATCATTTTTTCTAATATATCCCATTTCTTAAAAAAAAAAAACCCTCCCTGATTACACCATATTGTTTTTGCTTCATGTTCTGGATTTAGTTGTTTGCTTCAATGATGTCATTGCCAGCTGAGCAAACTATCTCTATAGCTTGTTCTATAGGTTTTCTTTTTAAATTTTGATATTTATTCTGTCTGTCTGTCTCTTTCTCTGTCTCTGCCTCTCTCTCTCTCTCTCTCTCTCTCTCTGTGTGTGTGTGTGTGTGTGTGTGTGTGTGTGTGTGTGTGATGACGTGCGTCTAGAAGTCAAAGGATAGGATTCCGTTCTCTCCTACTGAGCGGGTCAGCACCTTTACCTGCGCAGCTACCTCACTGGCCCCTCACCAGTGAATTTTCTAACCAGTGGAGATAGCCATGGCCTGGACACTCTAACTTGAATATGTGGGTCAGAGAATTAAGGCAAGGGCACTACCTTTCAACATCGTGAGTGTCCTTCGTCAGTATGGTAGCTAAGTGCCGTATGATTTAGGAAGGGCCAGACAGTAACTAATTTTTAGGCTTTCAGGTCCATTTGTCTTTGGTCACAACTCTTCAACTCTGCCTTCATAGGGGGAAGCAGTCAGACCTACATGATGGCTATATCCAGGTTCCTGGATGTGACCCATACTTGGTCACTCTGACCGAGGGCAGAGGGAGGAAACCTTCAGAGTTGTAAGCAAATGCATTAAGGTTTTTTAAGGGCAACAGGAGATTCCTAGATGCTTTCAGTGGGATGTTGGCGCCTTCTGGAAGGACTGGATCCCACAGGGATTTGGGTCTTGTCTTAAACTGGGTGTGTCACAATCCTGTGGAGAAGAGTTAACTAGCGGGAAGTGATGGTTGGGTAGATGTCCCTGCTCATGCCTGCACACGTGGTCCCCATTCATGACAAAGCCGAAGGGCCTGTCCCTCAAATCCCTGTTTGAGGGGTTGTGGCTCCCCAGTTCGTCACACGTTCCGTTTACTACGTGTGTGCAGTAGTGACTTTACTTTAGGAAGCCACTCCTTTGACCTGTTCTGTAATTCAAACATGTACATTGGTCGGAAGAACCTGGAAGTAGGAGAGGAAGTGAGGGAGTTGTAGCTCAAGAATAAAAACCAAATTAGGATGGGCGAAGTGTCTGCCATCTTCAAACTATGATCCTAACTTCACGATTTAATCGGATTCAACCCAAGACCCTGAGGCTTTGTTAGTTTGTCCAAATAGTGGAAAAACCTTCCACTCTGCGTAGAAACCTCACAAGCTCTCCGTGGGGCATGAACAAGCAAAGATTAGGTCGTGGTTGAGAGTTATTGATATTCATCTCTGTTATTTCTCTGGTTTGGCGCCATTTCTTCTTATATGCCCTTGGTTCTGTGGAGTAGGGTCTCACTGCAAGCCTAGGTTAGCCTTGAACTTACAGCTTCCTGCTTCTGCTTTCCAAGTGCTGGGATTATAAGTGTAAGCCAACACTCCTCTCACACATCTGAGGATTTCTTTTGGAAACTGAAGGACAAACCTTGCCCACTAAGTTGTTCCCAACTCACTAAAACACCACAGGGGGGTAAAGAGGCAAGGACCAAAAGTCAGCCATAGCCCGCTATATGTTTTCCCAAAAATGTTGTGGACGATATCGTTCCCCACAAACACATCTTATATTAGAAAATCAATGGTGTGGGAAGGATGACTTGGGGTCTCCAGGGGTCCTAGAATAAGGAGTCAAGAAGCCGGGCGGTGGTGGCGCACACCTTTAATCCCAGCACTCGGGAGGCAGAGGCAGGCAGATCTCTGTGAGTTCGAGTCCAGCCTGGTCTACAAGAGCTAGTTCCAGGACAGGCTCCAAAACCACAGAGAAACCCTGTCTCGAAAAACGAAAAAAAAAAAAAAAGGGAGTCAAGAGAGATTGGAAGCGGGTAAAACATGTAAGAAAGTTTAGAGTTTAGATTTTGACAAATATCTCAGCGTGTGTGGCAGCTTGGCCACTGGAGGAAAAAGGGACAAAGCAAAACCAACAAGACGAGGACTCAGCCTTTGTTTTGAGACAGGGGTCTCACTGAGTAGCTCTGGCTGGGCCAGAACTCCCTGTAGAGACCAGATTGGCCTCTGACTCACAGGGATCCACCCGCTTCTGCCTCCCCAGTGTTGGGATTAAAGTTGTGTGCCACCACACCTTGAAGACTTGGCCTTTGTTATCTGACTTTCTCATAATTAAAGAGAGAAAACCAGTTCCTTCTAGATGGTTCTTACCCCTCAGTATGGGAGTGACAATCGTGGAGATCAGACTTCCAGCATTGATGGCCAAATAAAAGATGGAAAAGAACTGGTTCCTCTGCTTTTCCTGTCACGGAACGGACAAAGTTAGATCATGACAATTTGGCTGGGAATCACGGGAGATGGATAAGCTCAGAGCTGAACTCACTGCCCACTTAGTCTGGTTAGTATTCTGCGTTCAAGTATCCTGGAGAAGAATGGAACAGAGATCTGACTTGTTCCAGAGATTTGATCTCTAGAGGGCTGTCAGTCATTAATGGGGCTCGTGCAGAATTCATGTTCTTACCTGACCTTCTTCAAACTGATCACCACCAAATGCAGATACACAGGGCTTGATTCCTCCTGTGCCAAAGGCTATCAGGATCAGGCCGATCATGGACAGGGCTCTGGAGAAAGGAGTGATTTGAGGGCAGGTCCTCAGAGGGAGGAGCCTCCCCCATGCTCTCCCTACAAGGACCAGGTACAGCTGCTGTCACCTGAAGGTTCGGCCTCAATGCACAGCAACCCAGGTAGTGCACAGGACCTCAGGTAATGCACAGGACCCCAGAGAATGCACAGGACCCCAGGTAATGCACAGGACCCCAGGGAATGCACAGGACCCCAGAGAATGCATAGGACCCCAGAGAATGCACAGGACCCCAGAGAATGCACAGGACCCCAGGTAATGCACAGGACCCCAGGGAATGTACAGGACCCCAGAGAATGCACATGACCCCAAGTAATGCACAGGACCCCAGGTAATGCACAGGACCCCAGGTAATGCACAGGACCCCAGGCTGTGAAAACGATGCCATAGGCCTTTAAGTCACATCTTTGTCTTATCATTTTTCACCCACGAAATTGAAAATATCTTGAAATCTGAACAAAGATTTATATGTGGACTTTGGGGAAGTCTTATCATTTCTAATAAAAGAAAGATTACATGAAAATATTCCTTAAAGGGCTGAGGGTGTAGCTCAGGGGCAGAGTCAATGCTTAGTATGGTTCTCAGCACACACGCAAGCGCACAAATTCCAACTGAACCAATGTAAGCCTTGTGCCAATCAAAACGGACTCATGATGGTCATGGAATGACATTGGAAACATGCCTTAATTGCAAAACAGACCATCTGACCAGGCACTGCGATCTCCTCCCTTTGCTGCCAGCGGGAAAGGCCAGAGAGCAGCAGATCAAATGAGAAATGGTTATGACTAGGTTGTGGGACCAAGGGCTTTCTATTTCAATTTTACTTTTGTTATTTTCCAGGTTAGCTGCAAACGTTTTACCTCCTGGATTAAAAAAAAGAAGCCATGGGGCAGCAGGAAGAATCACGACAAAGTATAAAGACACATGCATGGAAATAACGCCATTACTTCATATGCTGACCTAAAAAATTATCTGAAAAGGGAAAACCCATAGCATTTAGGATTTTAGAGTTTTGCCCGAAGTTAGGCACTATAAATCTGAAGTTTTGTAATGTTTTACTAATGTTGCTTAAAATACTTAAAATGAGATAGATGAAGTCTCTCTTGGTCTGGGTTCTTCCTCCTGGCTACATTGGCTGGCCAGTGAGCCCCCCTGGTCTGTCTGTCTCTGCTCTCTCAGGGTTGGAAGGTGAGTGGGTGAGGAGGTGAGAAGTGAGGGGGTGAAGGGTGAGGGAGTGAGGGGTGAGGGAGTGAGGGGTGAGGGGGTGAAGGGTGAGGG